GCATTCAGCCTCTCAAGTCTCTGACCGCGTCTCACTGCCAAGGAGATTAATCGGCTATTCGCATTCTTCTGCCCTTTTGCGCTTCTTATCATCTTTCCGGGCGCCAGACAAAACAAGAAGATGCAAAAAGGAGCTCCAGAGTCAAAGACACATCCTCATGGAGGTACAGTCAATGCTCCACTTTATTCCAAAAAATACACACATTATCAAGGGTCCTACAGGGTTCATACGCTCTAGCTATAACTTTATTCCCTCTCCTAGCCAAGGCACGCGCTCTGACCTTTTTAGGCCCTCCCCTCTTCCGGTTTCTCACACCCTGGATAACATCTTCTTCTCTTGTTTACCTCTATGCAGCTTTCTCATATCTGCTGCTCAAGGACACACATCTGCTGCTCAAGGACACAGATCCCCCCCATCCAGCACGCAGGCTGGATTGTGCAAACAGGCCTGCAGCAATATATGTCCTGCATCATCTAAGATTCTCTCAACAGGATCCCAATTCAGGTCTTCTGTTGGGAATATGTTCCCAATGTCTCCTTGAATGGCCCTTGTCGCAAGCTGTCCTACTACATGTGTTCTCGCAGTTTTTAATACAAGTTCTTTTTCTGTGTCGGTTAATTCTGACAGCATTAGGTCTATGTCTTCCCAGTCAATATGTTGGTTCTTTGCAATTAATTCGAATTTCTTAGCTACTCTTTCTGGGTTTTCCCTAAAGAATTTGCATCCTCTCTTCACCTGTCTAAATCGCTTGCTGAGAGAGGTACCTTTATCCTTGCCCGCTCCCCCAAGGGTGACATTATTTGCCAAAGAGGGGCGATTGTATGGCTAATTTCAGTTTTAGTTTTCACTTTTCCCCCCGTCTTCTCTCTAGCCTTTCGTTCAGCAGCCCTGGTTCGATATGACTAGTTCTTTCTTCCGGGTCATCTCTGCTTTCTGCTATGCTTTCTGTATCTATTTCATATGTGCTGTTGTGTTTCTGTTTTATTATTTCTAGCCCTTTCGGCTATAGTTCTTGGAGGTCTATTATACTTTCTTCCTCCTTCCTATCTTCAGACACTGCTGTCCAATGCTACAGGCATCGCAGCAGCATTCCTTCAGTTTGAAATTTTTCTGATCTTTCTCTAATGTCAAAACAAAGGGATCTTGGGGTGGGATGTTTATTCCACAGTCCCTTTGCCATTCGGGCTTATTTCTTAAAGTGAAAAACATTTTGGCATAGACCACTTCATCCCACTTTTGTAATCTACGAAGGAACAATATGAGTTGTAAGATTGTATTATAATTAATGCTTCCTTCATCCAACCATCCGAGTGTCAGTAATATACCAGGTGACCAAGGGATCATGTTCCCAAACCGGTCCCCAGTTGTAAATACTCTGAATCACTAGCTAAGCATTGCATTCTTCTGAGCAGGAGGGTCCCCAGATCAGTATTCAGAGTTAACTCTTTAGGCCCTAGCTCCATTTCAGTCTGATATTCTAGCATGGAAAGTTCTTTTGAGAAGATGAGCAGAAATGAGGTAATGAGTACTGTTATACTGAAAAGTGCTAAGAGATACCACCTCTCATAATTAGATCTGTAGCAGTCATCATAGACTGCATCATCTGACTGCAGCATAGTCATCATTTATGCTGGAAAGGATCCTTAAGATCATCAAATCCAACCATTAACCTAGTACTGCCAAGTCTACCACTACCCCATGTCCCTAAGTGTCACATCTACACTAAATACGTCCAGGGATGGTGACTCAACCACTTACCTGGGCAGCCTGTTCCAATACTTGACAACCCTTTCGGGATTAAGGCCATTTCTTCTCTTCCTATCACTGTTACCTGGGAGAAGAGACTGACACATGCCTCACTACAACCTCCTTTCAGGTAGTTGTAGCAAGCAATAAGGTCCCCCCTGAGCCTTCTTTTTTCCAGAATAAACCACCCCAGTCCCCTCAGCTGCTCCTCATAAGACTTGTGCTCTAGACCCTTCACCAGCTTCATTGCCCTTTTTTGGACACACTCCAGGACTTCAATGTCTTTGTCATTCGGGGCCCATAACTGAACATGGTATTCAAGGTGCAGCCTCACCAGTGGGGACAATCACTTCCCCAGTCCTGCTGGCCACACTATTTCTGATACAAGCCAGGATGCCATTGGCGTACTTGGCCACCTGGGCACACTGCTGGCTCATGTTCAGCCAGTTGTTGACCAGCACCCCCAGGTCCTTTTTCATTGAGCAGCTTACCAGCCACTCTGCTCCAAGCCTATCACACTGCATGGAGTTGTTGTGACCCAAGTACAGGATCTGGCACTTCACCTTGTTGAATTTTATACGATTGACTTCAACTCATCAATCAGACTGTCCAGATCCCTCTGTAGAGCTTTCCTACCCTCAAGGAGATCAACGCTCCCACCCAACTTGGTGTCATCCGCAAACTTATTGAGGGTGCACTCGATCCCCTCATCCCCCTCATTGATGAAGATATCAAACAGAACTGGCCCCATTTTTCTTCTCCTGGATTTCCAGTTTATCTGAAATCTATAGCATTTTGCCCACTCGTGTGTAGAACACTGAAGGTTTATAGGTCAAGTAAGTATGTATGCCTAGGCCTTATATCTATCTTATCTCTTTATTAAGACCAATATCTAAAATATAGCTCTAACTAAAGAATATCTTCCAGACTCATCTAATTTTACTTTGAAGGCCTCAAAATTTTGAGAACTCCCTGTTTCCCATGGAAATTGGTTTTACTGGTGTGGTGGTTTAAAAACCATCTGAGAATTAAACTCCAAATAAGCTGCTCCCCCCTTCCCCCCCACCTGGTGAGAGAGGGACAAAGGCAGAGACTGTGAGTTGAAATAACAATTTACTGAAAACAAACAGCAATGGAATAAGAAATGCACAGTAACTGCAACAATATTAATAATAGAAGTATACAAAAGAGAAGGTGCTTTACACACAAAAGGTATTCACCACCTTGACTCAGTTCTGCGTGGCCACTGAGACAAAGACAAGATGGCAGATACTCTCCGCAGCAGGCATTCCCTGTCCCCAAGCTTGAGACAACAAAAAACAATGACAGACAACCCCCCAAAAAAACAGATCAACTGCATTGTGTCACGTCTCGAGCTTCCGGACCACTTGCTGGTTCAATTCCACATGGTGCCACCTCTTGGAGTTGTATTTTTCCTGAGTGACAGGAAGGAATGGGTGGTGGTGGGAGAACAGAGTCTGCAGGGCTGGTCCCAGCAAATTCCCCAAGGAAGAGGCAGAACAAAATGGCACACTTCTGGCATGCACTCACGTTTTTCATCCTCCTGAAACCACCCTTACCCCCCCGTGATGACATGGGTGGTATAGAATAGCAAGCAAGCCACACTTCACCCCCTCTCTGTAGCCAGGACCACTGCTTAATTATAAATACAGTTAAATATGTGCCTTTCATCTGAATTTGTTTGACTTAAGGCTCTATCTATTTCTTCTTGATTTATATTTGTCTGTTAGATAAAAAGTATTTTTGTCTTCAGTATTCATGAAGGTACCTTTATGAAGGTACATGTATAAAATATTTCTTGCTAAAGTAATCAGACTATACTCTTTGTCTCTTCTGAGTTTCTCCAGTTTTGTTCATTTCTTTGCTTCTTTCCCTCCAGGTTTTTTAACATCCCTTTAAATATGTCATTCCAATACTTGTCTCAACAATGCTGTAAAAGAGGTAAAAGCCTCCCAGTTTGTGATTACTATAATTTCCTTAAATATTGTATTTTCAGGTTTTTTTCCAACCCAAATTTTTTACCTTCTAGTGTTTTCCTTTTGTTATATCTAAATAACAAGGAAAGATAAATACTCTAGTAGCTCTATTGCTGAATTTATTACGATTTTTCTACACAGTTTAATGTAAAGAGCATTTCTATAATTACTTTATGGCCCTGTACAACCAACATTTTTCTGTCATGACATTTCTCTGTTCTGTTATTGCCAGTCATAAAATAGCTGTAATAATCTTGCAGTGAGTTGGTATTGGTTCCATGCTAATATCAAACATTTAATAGTGGCTAGAAATTGAATTTTACTACTGAATACCAGCATGTTTAGGTTTTCTGCTCTGAAACTTCATATGAAAATTACTAATTTGCTAAGTATTCATTTCATACCAATGCTTCATGCTTTGTAAAAGATTTGCATTTTAAAAGAGAGACATTATTATAAATATATTTGTGTCTTTTCTAAAATACTTGGATTTGTTATGAGTATTATGAATTTGTGACAGGTTAATGAAAAAATAATAATAGTCGCTTCACTTAAGTGCTATGTATATTTTAATTATTTTTAAAGTTTGTTTAAAAGGAATGTTTAATCAACCTTTATTCAATTTCACAAAATTTGCATCTGAAAAAGCCTTCTAAGCTCTTAGTAGTTCAGAACAACTGAAATTTAGGTGAGGCAACCTCTGCAAATGCAAAAAACCCCAAACCAACAAACAAAAAACCCCCACCCTTAGACAACTCTTTCTTTCTTTGTATTTTTTTCCTGAACATTTTTACCAGATAGTAAATGAGTATAGTGTTATTGAAGTAAACTACTTGCATTAAAGTACAAAGTGCTTTGCCGTATTGGTGCTCAGTCCCACGAACACGCAGAAGTGAGGACATTTTCCAAATGGGATTTTCCTGTAAGCTGTGAAGTTAGAGAATCAGAAAATACTAGCTAGAATGCATTCCCTCTATCAGAAATATCTGTCTGACTAAAAGTAGGAGTTCAAATAATATTTTAAGGCAGGTGTATTTTTTTATAATCACTTTCTGATATAATATGTTGCATCTGAACCAGTAACTTTTTGCTGTCATTGTTACTCTGAAAGGAGAATGATGATAAAACAGAGCACATGTTTTATTTTGCCTCAGGCAATTGTTCTTGTTTGAGTAAATAGAACCAATGAAGGAACAGGTTTTCAGTTCAGATGCTTTAATCCAGAATGCTAAAATGGAGGATAATCTTCTTACACAGGACCGAGGAGATGAATTCACTTATACTGGGAGTGGAGGTAGAGATCTTTCTGGAAATAAAAGAATTGGAGAACATTCATTTGATCAAACATTAACACACATGAACAGGTAAGTTTTCGAGACTAAATTAAAAAAAAAATTCCAGACCAAAGAGTTCTTTAATTTAAAAGTGATATTTTGAAAAATTTATTTGCTTATACATCTTCTGCTACTGTAAACAGTGATGCCTTCTGCTGTTTAGAGGCATTTTGTCAAACATGGTGTTATTTTGATTTAAAGAATTATTTATAACTAATGAAAACATATTGCTATATTACAGATTCAGTTGGCATCTATTTGTATCTATTTTATATTTATCTATTTGAAATTGTCCAAGACTTCTTATGAAAAGACTTGGTTTTCAGGTGATTAGAAGTTTGCCAAACTTAAACCTTTTAAGCTGAAATTTTTTGTGCTGGGTATTTGCCTTAGATTGTTCTCATAAAGTTTCATCTTAAATGGTTTAACAATTTATGAAAGTTAGGTATGAAGAAAGTATGTTAATTTACCCATACTAAAAGAAATCTTATATATATTTGATAGCCTTTAGTGCCTTCATACCTTGTATGAAGAACAAGGAATTAGTATCATTTTGCCTTTAGGTTGTGTAATTTCATGTTCCTGATAAAAGTTGGCTTATTTTTTGCCAAATTGTAGGCAAAAACAATTGACTGAAGAAAAAAAAAAGGTTTGAAAAATTAAATTGGAAATTTGCCTAAAGTATATTTATGTTCTGTAAACAGTCTGCCTAAACTCTAGGAATTCTCAATACCTTTACATTTCTAAATATATACCACCTGCATGAAGCAACTAACCATGCAGTGGCTATAGGGTACTAAGATTGACTGGAACTCTCTTTACCAGATCTGACATTGAATGGGCTATGCTTCTGTCAAGCACCAAAATTGAGTGGGAAGGTAATCTTTCAGGTTTTCTGATGGTACTCAGAGGAGAAAGGAGAAAAGCCTTACTGGGATACTGACAGAGAAGGAGGAGATAGATGTAACAGAAGCAAGAGTGTGGAAAGAAAAGAGACAAAAAATAGATTTGGACAGCAGGTTTATAGTGGCTTTTAATCATTAAAGCAAACTTTATTGGAACCTGGAATAAAACCTAAGCTCCTTAGTCTTTTTGTTCCTCTGATGTCAGCAAATGGTTGTGAAAGCCACTGGCAAAGTATGTGTCTGGTTGCTTTGTAGTAGTTGAGATGCATGGAGTATAATGTGGTGCTACCAGTTATCCATTTTGACTGGCTAGTGGTAGTCTTTGCTTTGGGTCTAATGTTCTTAACCCTTGTGATGATTAAAGTAGGACAGTTTGAATGAATGTAATAGAATCAGATTTGGGTTTTCATTTGTCCAGAATGTTTTCTTTTTTGTCTGCACAAAAGAAATACTTTTAAAACCTGCATTACTTCACCTTTCCTTACTTTTCTGTATATTGCAGGCTGTAGATTTTGCCATATTTTTCTGAGTGCCACTGTTTCTTTTGTGGTCCATGGTTGGGTTTGAACCTGATTCCAGAGACTTTTGTTCATCCACACTCAAATCAATGTATGGCAATAAAAATATTTTATGTTTAAACTGTTTAGTCAGGCAGGGATTCATACTATCTTACCCCAAGTGTCTATAATAGGACACATATACAAATAGTGGATAAAAGTGATGTTGTGATTTAACCCCAGCCAGCAACTGAGCCCCACACAGCCCCACTGGTGGGATCAGGGAGAGAATCAGAAGGGTAAAGGAGAAAACTCATGGGTTGAGATAAAGACAGTTTAATAGGGAAAGCAAAAGCCATACATGCAAACAAAGCAAAACAAGGAATTAATTCACTGCTTCCCATGGGCAGATGTTCAGCCATCTCCAGGAGAGCAGGTCCCCATCACATGTAACGGTTACTTGGGAAGACAAACGCCTTCAAACATCCCTCCCTTCCTCCTTCTTCCCCCCACTTTAAATACTGTCATATGATCGGAAATATCCCTCTGGTCAGTTTGGGTCACCTATCCTGGCTGTGTCCCCTCTCAATTTCCCATGTAGCCCTTGTCTCCTCATCAGCATGGCAGTGCAATAAGCAGAAAAGGCCTTGGCTCTGTGTGACCCCTGCTCAGCAGTAACAAAAACATCTCTATATTATCATCATCATGTTCAGTACAAATCCAAAACAGCCATGTACTAGCCACTGTGAAGAAAATGAACTCTATCCCAACCAAAACCAGGACAAGTGAGTGCTTCAGGAGAGACTCAGAGCAAGCTGGAACCTACTTCTGCTCATCAATTATATGGACATCCAGACAGCTGAATTTAGACAATATAAATACTATTGCTTAATGTTGCTCTACATTATTCTAAAGTTCCTTTAGGGAATGCTAGCTGTCTCCATAAGATTTTATTCACTTCTGTTCCTTCTGGAGGGATTAAGGTTTATCCATAAAGATTTTCACTTCCTACCAAAAACAATACTTACCTCCTGATAGAGTTTGAAGCTGGCTCCCTGCCAAGTCTCCAAACCTTACCACCAGAAGTCCCCCCCCCCCCCCCAAACCTCAGGGAGAAGAGGGAGAAAAAAACAACCAACTAAGAAAAAACCCGAAACGAGAGAGACAGCTAAAGTGATATATATAAATATATTTACACTTATATATACAATTTAAAATATATACAATTTTCACAAGGGAAGGGGAAAGGGGAAGGGAACAAAACCAAAATAAAATATATATATATCCCAAATCAGTAGCCCGAGATCTAGTAACTAAAGAGTTAGCAAAGGAAATATATCACCACTCTCCTTGGGACAACTGAGAGTTGCTCCGGGACGATCGCCGGCAACCTCCGTCTCCCAAGGTCGACAAGGCCTCACCAGGCCTCGCTCCCCAACACGGCAGACTCAACAGCAGGGAACCTGCACCTCCAAGCCGCCGGAAGGAAAGAGAGCGAAGGCCTCTCCTCCTTTCTTCTTATAATCTGGCTTACGTAAAAATCGTAGGGAATACTGGGTAAATCTGGCCCCTTCCTTGGTTACAAACTGGTCACCAAGGAAGGCCTAGCCCAAACCACCACACCTCCCCATGCATACAAATTCTTATTGTCATTGTCACAGTCTGATGAGACTGAACTGTTTGCTAAAGAGGATGAGTTATGAGGTAGACCAAACTCCTCTCTCTCAGCAATTGTAATATCAAAATTAAGGGGCTTTACTCGAGGAAAATGTGGAAAAACAGAAGAAATAACAACCCTTTATTGAAAGATATATGTGTGTTGGCAAAAACAGCAGTAAAACCACAGAAGAACTAGACAGTAATCTCAGAGGGGAAAAAAAACCCCAAAAAACAACAACGCCCTGTTATGGCCTGCAGGGGAGCGCTGTGGGATCACTGGAAGGTGTAGGACCTGCAGTACCTGGTCGTGGTCGGCAGGGGGCGCGGTGGGCTCCGGCAGTCACACCGCGGGAAGAGGGGGGCTGGAGAGAGCGGTCCCGGACCGCGTGAGGAAGCCGAGAAGGAGATGGGGGTCCTCCCCTCCGCGGGGACGAAAAGAAAAAAGAAAGGCAGGCAGTACACTCCCACGGGGACTCACCGCAATCTCAGGTGGTGGTGTCTCAAAAAACTCCCCCTCCTCTCCCGCGGGCAAGCAAACTCTCCGTTGAGGCACAGCAGCTCCAGGGAGCGGGACAGTCAGGCAGGTCAAAGACAGCAGGATGAGAAGTCGAGCTGACCAGGACGAACAGCCAAAAGAAAACTAGACCTCCGGTCCCCCTCCCCAAAAAAAGAATGCCTGTCTGCACCCAAGGAGCCAACAACGCGGTCTGCCCCTCACCCCTCCGAACAGAACCAGCCCCCACCTCCCTCTCCCGTCTCTCCAAATGGGCCATTAACCTAGGCAGGCTACATCCTTTGTAAACCCAAAGGCCCCCCCCCCCCCCCCCCCCCCCCGTTTTTTTTTTTCCTTGGAGTGGGGCAGGGGAAGAAAAATTCCCCTGATTTCCTAATCTATAACAGTCATCCATTCTTAAAGTTAACATGGGATGTGGGAGAGGCTCCAACTAAACAAGGGAAAATATTTTTGTGGTGTTTGCTGATATTCAAGGGGGAATGGCTTCAAACTGAAACAGAGTATGTTTAGATTAGATATTAGGAAAAAATTCTTTACTGTGAGGATGGTGAGGCACTGGCACAGGTTGCCCAGAGAAGCTGTGGATGCCCTATCCCTGGAAGTGTTAAAGGACGGGTTGGCTTGCTCTGAGCAACCTGGTCTAGTGGAAGGTGTCCCTGTCCACAGCAGGAGGGTTGGAACTAGGTGATCTTTAAGGTCCCTTTCAACCCAGGCCATTCTATGACTCTATGATTTATTCTTTTCTGAATCTCTGATGATCCATCTATATGCTTCTAGATCAAAAATACATAGAAAAGAAGAACATTATGGTTTGCTTGTATATGAATTCGTTCATGGCATTTAACTCCTAAGCTTAGGTAGTTAATGGACTAAGAACAGTAATATTTGCTACAGATATATTTTTGGATAGTCAGTATGTACTTTTTTCCATGTGTTATTTTTTTGTAATGTTTATCAATTCATGTCCACTTTAAAAGTCTAAAAATATGCAGTAATATGGAATAGTCAGAGAGATAATTTGCCATTCTTACAACTTTTTAAAATCCTTCCATGTTACTTGAGAAATAATTATTTTAAAAAAAAATTAAACCTCAAGATTTCTTTTATTTAACTGTACTAGCTGAGTTTTCATTGTGAACATTAGGAACTAAATATACTGTATTCCCATTCTCCCACATGGTAGAGTTGATCTCAATGCTTCCATTGATATTGCAGTCTACTGAAGAATTCACTGCAAATTCTTATTCTGCTCAGTAAACATAATAGGATAAAGCAAACAAATTTGATCTTGTCACACTGATTCTCAATAGTGTGTTGCATGAAGCAATCTGTTTTATAAAGATATTTAATGTGATTTTCAGGGCACTGGCCCTTAACTGTGATGCCCCTTTGGATGATAAAAATGGAGCAGAGTCTAAGAATTGGAGAGCTGGTAAGCCAGTCCGAGTAGTGCGCAGTTCAAAAGGACGACGGATCAGCAAATATGCCCCAGAGGAAGGCAACAGATATGATGGCGTTTACAAGGTATGATTTTTACTGTATATATAGCTATACATTTGTCTTAAGGCATGTTTATATGTCTTTTGTGTTACATAGCAAACTCTTCATTATGGCTTTTGAAGGAATAATTCTTTTGTTACCATGAGGATAGTTTAGCCTACTTCATTCTGTAGTGAAATGAAATGGAAGTATTCCATTCCATTCTAACTGTGGCACTGAAAGACTGTGCGGCAGTTCACACAGATGTACGTGAAGAAAGGGCTGTGCGCTCTGCCAGTTATCAGTGCTTCCTGCTCTACTTACCCACAGAAGCATGGTGGCAGAGACCTGGCAAGGGCTGTGCTCTGCAGAAGCTGAGAGCCCACCTATCTAGCCAGACTACCCTGGAATGAATGGAGGCAGCCACCCACCAGACAGTGTCCTATCAGGGAAGCTGCTATCCAGGTGGAGGGCTGTAAAGTCTGTACCCCACACCCCTGGGTGGAGGAGGGTGCAAGCTCCACCTGTGGAAGGTGTGTTCTGGTGGAGTCACTCAGGCAGCAGGTGGAGGAGCTGAAGGAGGAAGTTAACGGGCTATGCTGTATTAGGGAGGGGGGAACAAGAAACAGAGTATATTTGAGAGTTTGCAAGAAGAAATACTAGGGTCCTGTGGCACTGACCTCCAAGGACTTCCAGACAAAGAGCTTCAAAAGCAAACAGCACCCTGGAGAAGGAGGTGCCGTGGTCTCTGGTGACCCATGCCAACAGGATATCACCCCCACCCATTTCCTTGTATGTACCAACCAGCAATAGATATGAAATCTTGACAGCAGACAAAACCAATGAACAAGATTCACAGAAAGAAACCTCACCAGCAACACATATTAAAGCTGCAAAAGGAAGAAGCAAGTGCTAGTAGTGGGTGACTCTCTGCTGAGAGGTACTGAGGCACTTGCATCAGCTGGCCTGATATACAGTCAGGGAAGTTTGCTGCTTGCCAGGAGCCAAGATCCAGGATGTGAGGAATGCTCCCCAATCTTCTCCAAAGGCAAGAACCGTAAGTCCAGCTACCTCAAGTGCTCACCAGTGCAAGTACCAATGCAAGTCCATGTCGGGGTTAACAGCAGGTCTGCCAGAAGGAAGACAGGACTATAGAGGCAGATACCCTGAGCTTTCTGCAGATTTAGAGCGAGCTTGCTGGAGCTTAGTCGCTGTGAGTCTACAGGTGCTGAATCATCGTGTGTGCTACAGGGCGGCCGATCCTGATGCATGTTTATTTGCAGACACCAATCGTAATGTAACATGTATGTTATGCCAAGAGCTATAAATGTTGGTGACTTGTTACAATAAAGGATCTATCGATCTATATATCTATCCCTCTCCTGTCCTGCTTTTGGAAGAAGTCTGTTTCTGTGTCACTTTGACCATCTCAACAGCAACAAGTCCAGACACCTTAAGTCCATGTATACCAATGCAAGTAGTCTGGGCAACAAACAGGAGGAACAAGAGCTTGGTGCCCAGTCTGAGAGTTATGATGTCATAGGAATCACAGAAACTTGGTGGGAAAACTCACATGACTGGAAGATTGCAATGGATGGCTACAAGCTCTTTCAAAAAGACTGGAAGGTAAGAAGTGGAGGTGGAGTTGCACTTTATTTAAAAGATAAATTTGAATGTATGGAGGTGAATTATGGAGATCACAAAAGTTCTATCAAAGGCCTTTGGATCAGGATTGGAGGGATCATTACCAAGGGGGATCTTATGGTAGGTATCTATTACCATCTTCGCAATCAGGGTGATGAGGCTGATGAAACCTTACTTTGGCCACTCAAGGAATTCTCAGGCCAACAGAACCTGGTCATCATGGGTGGCTTCAATTACCCAGACATTTGTTGGGAAAACAACACAGCAGTGCACAAGTTGTCCATCAGGTTTCTGGAATGCATTGAGGACTGCTTCCTGCTACAGATGCTGGACATGCTGACTAGGAACAGCACATTGCTTCATTTACTGCTCACAAACCAAGAAGACTTACTTGACAACATAACTACCAATGGTAGCCTTGGATACAGCAATCACAACATTGTGGAATATCCTGCCTAGCATGCTGAAGACCCTGTATTTTTGAAGGGCCAACTTCAATACACTCAGAGCCCAGCTGCGAGGGAAGCATCCATGGAGGGCAAAGCAGCCTGTGACTGTTGGGAGTTGTTCAAGAACAGCTTCCTGGAAGCACAAGAACAGTCCATCCCCTACAAAGGGAAAGGAAGAAAGCAGAACAAGATGCCACTCTGGCTTAACAATGAGCTTTTGACTACTTAAGGGCAAAAAAAGAAACATACTGGCTATGGAAAAGCAACCAAATAGCTATCAAGGACTACAAGAACCTTGCTAGGGCATGCAGAGATGCAGTCATGAAAGCTAAGGCTCAGATAGAACTGAAATTGGCCAGAGATGTCAAGAACAACAATAAAGGGTTCTTTAAGTATGTGAGTAGTAAGCAGAAGCACAGGGAAGACACAGGCCCATTGCTGAACAGGGCAGGCAAACTAGTCACTAATAATGCTGACAAGGCAGAGGTTCTCAATACTTTCTTTGTCTCTGTCTTTACTGGTGTAGCTGGACCCCAGATCACAGGAGCAAGTAGCTACAACAACACATGTCAACCCATGAGTAGTGGAGGAAGGGCTGGTCTGTGACCTCTTGCAAGGGCTCAACCCACAGAAATCTATGGGCCTGGAATCCATCCCAAGGTGTTAGGAGAAGTGGTTGACATTGTTGCAAGACCACTGTCCAAAATCTTTGAAAAGTCATGGAGATCAGGGGATGTCCCTGATGACTGGAAGAGGGCAAATGTCATACTCATCTACAAGAAAGGCCCAAAAGAAGACCTAGGAAACTACAGGCCTGTTAGTGTTGCTTCAATCCCTGGGAAAGTAATGAAATGAGTCCTCCTAGAAACTACCACAAACCAATTGAAGTAGGTGATTAGGAAAAGACAGCACAGATTTGCCAAGGGCAAATCTTGCCAGACTAACCTGATCACCTTCTACAGCAAAATAACATCTTCTGTTGACATGGGGAGAGTAGTGGATGCTGTTTACCTAGACTTCAACAAAGTGTTCAACACTGTTACCCACATCCTTCTCCTGCACAAACTGGCAAGACACAGATTGGTTGGGTGGTCTGCAAGGTGGGCAGGAAATTGGCTAACAGGTCGCACTTAGAGGATGGTGATCAATGGTTTTTACTCAGACTGGGAGCCTGTCATAGGTGGGGTCCCCCAGGGATCGTTACTAGGTCCCACTCCGTTCAACACTGTGGTGGGTTGAACTTGGCTGGCCACCAGATGCCCACCAAACTGTTTTATCTCTCCCCCTCCTCAATGAGACAGGGAGTGAAAATAAGATTAAAAACTCATGGGTCAAGATGAAGGCAGTTCAGTAAAGAAAGAAAAGGCATGCATGGAAGTAAATGAAAAAAAAATAGCTTGGGTAAGTTTGGTCAGTTGTAAGTATTTATAAGAGGTAATTTCAGGAATGAGAAACAGATACAATGAGATGGTTAGAAAATATGTAAATGTATCAAATTATGTGAGCTGACCCAAGCTTACTAAAGGGATATTCCATACCATATGACATTGTGCTCAGCAATAAAAACTGAGAGAAAGGAGGATGAGCAGGGGGCATTTGTTATTAAGGCATTTCTCTTCCTAAACATCTGCTACTCATACTTCAGCCCTACTTCCCAGTAAGTGACTGGATACTGGCTACTGATGGGAAGTAGAGAATAAATGTTCATAAGAACTGGCTATTACTTGGGACCCATCTGTCAAGATGGTTACTCAGGACAGGAGAAGCAAAGTGTTTGATTGTTGGGTACCAACACTGGCTTGGTTTGGGTCATCACTGCAGTCACCAGGTTCCTTGCAAAGATTACTTTTTGTTGGTTCAGGTAGTTCCTGCTACCTTACTTCCTACAACACACAACATTCATTACAGATTATTTCCCCCAAGTTAAAATCCCTTTGAGGTACACATTGGATCTCCCCATCCTTTCACATTACACACCAAGTACATTCAGGTCCTTGAGCAAAGACAATCCTGCAAATGGGTTTGTCTTTTCCCAAGGGAGGAGCAGCCCACACCTCCTTCCCCAGAGACTTCCTTACATGCATGCACTACAGGCACCTTATCTCCTCCCACAGTACGTAGAGGCTTCTGTTTGGGCAGGGCCAGGCTGATTAGCAAATTCTTCTTAGCTTCTTCTAAACTTATATCCCAGTGCTTCCATGCCCCATTTCCCAATGCTCTCAACATAGTCCTTAACAATCCATTATATCTCTCAGTCTTTCTGGAGGCTTGTGAGTGATAGTTTATGTGATGAACTTAATCAATGCCATGTTTCTTGGCCCAGGAGTTTATGAGGTTATTTTGGAAATTAAGCCCATTGTCTGACTCAATTATATCTGGGATACCATGTGACCACAAAATTTGTTTTTAAAGGTCCAGGATGGTGTTTCGAGCAGTGGCATGGTTTACAGAATATGTTTCTAGCCACCTGGTAGGTGCTTCCACCATGGTGAGTATGTAGCGCTTGCCTTGGCATGTTCATGGCAGTGGGCCAATATAGTCAATTTGCCATATCAGAAACCCAACCACTGCTCTCTATTCCAGGGAGACTACCTGTGTGGCTTGATTGCTGCACGTTTCACATTCATGAGTCTTCATGGTCAACTCCACCCTTTGATCACAAGCCCATCCATATGTTGCATCTCGCCAGATGTCCCGATGTTTCGTGGGCCTATCGAGCTACAAATAGCTCACTCTTACACTCCCAGTCCAGGTCCAACTGAACCACTTCAATTTTGACAGTCTTGTCTGCCTGTTTGTTGTTTTGATGTTCCTCAGTGGTGCAGCTTTTGGGCATGTATCTGCATGACGCACCTTCAGAGTCATGTTTTCTATCCATGCAGTGATGTCCTGCCACAATGCAGCAACTGATGCTGAAAAACCTCGGAATAAATAACTGCTCAGAGACTTTGC